GAAATAGTGTCTCCAAGGAACACATAAGAGTTTTATAATTGATTTCATCCATAAAAAGATATGGGATTTTGAAACTAATACAGGGAGTTTAGTAGTTCAGCAGAAACAGCCGCGGATGGCCTGTGTCCTGCAGGACTCTGTTTCCCAAAGCAGTTATGGAAATTTGCAGTGTCATCTGGAGTGTGCAAGATGATGATAATTGGAGGTATTTGAGCTGTTTCCCCAAGCCCATACATATTTTTTGACCCAAATCTCAACTGCAGTAACTCCACTGCCTGAGCTTGGACCATGTTTGCGAGACATCAGAGGAAGGCTGAAAGCCTCAGTCGAGTCAAGGATACCCAAAATTCTACAGCACTGAAAGAATTGCATGGATTTAACCCATCTGAGCATCTGAAAACAAAAAGCTCTTGTTGGAGGTGCCTTTTTTTGAGGGAGCTAAAGGTTTTGTTGTTATTGCTTAGCACACTTTATTTAAAGGTTGGAGAAGAAACAAAAAGGACAAGATGATGGATGAAATTCTGCAGGTTTGGAAATCCTTCAGAAATTCTGACTCCCCTGGAGACAGGATTTTACCTCTGATGTGCTAGACAAGAACCTGATTTTATCATGAAAAATTCCATCAAACACTTTACAAAACCTACAACATATATCCTCTTTCAGATCTGATTTTAAGGCATTGCTTCACTCAAAGCTGTGCCTCCCACCCGAAATCTCAAGTGCAGAGGTCTTCAGGGTCTTTTCTACTTCCCCCATAAACTTGATGAGTCACCAAGTAAGGCCTTTTTGGGGGTGGCAGAATTGAGAGGTAATACTCCACTCTCTCTGTTCAGAGGGAGAAACATTTTCCTATTCTTCTGTTTTGTGGCAGGAAATTAAAATGTATTTTGTATTCGTGTCTCATCAATGGGAACCATTGAAGTGTGGCAGGGTGTTTTTAGGAAGGCCAAATGTTTAATTTTAGAATTCTCTGTCTAAAAATAACCCAGTATGTTTGAAACACTGCACAGTCCTGTCAGGATTCATAAACAAAACACTTAACCCTTGTGATACAATTTCTAAAGTAAAAACCATAGGAAAAAAAGGCAGCCCTGACTGTGAGCTGATCAGGACTGAAAACTGGATAAGCAGCAGTTCAGTGGCCCAGACCAGGCATCGAGAACAAAGTAAACCAAGGACTGCCCAAGTCTGGCCTTGTTTGCCCTAAGAAATCCTTCCTGTTGCCTTGAAACTGTGTTCTGTAACATCTAAATTTCACAGGAGGGCTGAACGTCTGTGATCAATGGCCCAGTGTGGGATAACACAGTTAAGAAGGTGAAAAAAACTGCTGTGGAGCAGCAGTGGGGGGGAGAGGAGTGAGAATGTGTGAGAGGAGCAGCCCTGCAGACCCCAGGGCGGAGCAGCAGGAGGGGCAGGAGGTGCTCCAGGAATGGGAGCTGAGGTTCCCCTGCAGCCCGAGGGGCGGCCCATGGTGAGGCAGCCGTGCCCCTGCACCCAGGGAGGCCCAGGGGGAACAGAGATCCACCTGCAGCACTTGGAGGACCCCACACCGGAGCAGGTAGATGCCCAAAGGAGGCTGTGACCCCGTGGGAAGCTCATGCTGGAGCAGGATCCCGGCAGGAGCTGTGGCTCCGTGGAGAGAGGATCCCACACTGGAGCAGGTTTGCTGGGCAGGACTTGTGACCTCGTGGGGGACCCACACTGGAGCAGCCTGTTCCTGGAGGACTGCACTCCATGGAAGGGACCCCAGACCAGATCAGGGGAAGAGTGTGAGGAGTCCTCCCCCTGGAGAGCAGGGATGGACTGACCACAGCCCCCATTCCCTGTTCCCCTGTGCTGCTGAGGGGGAGGAGGGAGAGAATTTGAGAGTGAAGTTAAGATGTCAGTTCATTTGCTGCACCTGAAGATGAAACCTTGCAGTGAATTCAGACCATGCTTGTTCCACCAGAAGGTCCTGAAGGTCTTCAGGGTTTTCTGCAAACCTCTGGGAGGGTTTATGTGTTAAATAAAAGCATGTGCTACTCGTACCTTCCTATTTCTGTAGGCTGGCAGTGCTTTACTGATCTTCTTCCCCTTCTGTAACATCCAAACATCTATCTGGTCACCGTTCCATCCCTGCCTATGTTTTTTGTTGGACTTGGAGATGAAGGGACCTCCTCTTGGAGTTGCTTCTTCTACCAGAGTCTCTTTTCCTACAGGTCTCACAGTCTCGTGTCCAGAAGGGCTGAGCTGCTGGAGAAGCAAGTTTTGCAACCTCACAACATTTTTGCATTCATCTTATTTGAGATAATCATGAACTGTGGACTCATTTTCAGCCCTGGATACAGTCCAGGCCATTGCTTGATGAACTCCCACCCCTTTGATGCTGTATGGTTCCCTCAGGAGTTCATGTTCCCACTTAACAACAGCAACTGCATTTTTGTGCCATCATGGGATGCTCTTGCATCCAGACAGCTTTGATTTGCTGCAAACACAGTGTTTAGCTGAAGCAGAGGGATCTTGGGGCAGAGGGAAACTGCTTTTCCTTCCCCAGCCCTGGCGAGGTTTCTCTTCCCTTCTGAGAGGATCAGGGTCCTTTACCTGATCTATTTTAAAAGACTATCAGGAAAAGTTTCCAACAAGACACTGTACAGTGACAGAGAACTGTTTTACTGGTGGTTTAGCAAATAATAAAGGTCAGACTAATTTTTGGCGCTTGATCTCAGGGTTGCAGATAAAATATTCAAAGGCACGTACAGAGAGGGAAAGAAGGATTTACCCCAGTTTACCATTCCTACATCTTGTAAATCTGGTGATCCAACTTTCTGGAAATAGTTAGAAAATGGATAAAAAGGGAATTTAGTTCACATTTGTGAATCCATTTTAATACAGCTACAAACAACCTGCCAGAAGACAACCAGGCATGAGAGAGCTGGTGGATATGATACTCCATACAGAGCAGTGATTATCATATCTCTTTGACAGAAAGTATTAAAAAGTCATTCAGAATATCCATGGGTGAGGGATTCCCAGTTATTTTTCAGAAGTGCAGTAATTGATGATCAATCTTGTAATTATTTTAATTGGAGAAAATTACATGCCTGGCACCTCTTGGCATTACACCTGCCACAGACTTTTAGGAGCTCTGTGGTCTGATTCCAAGGCTGCTTTATCTAAATCATGAGCATTCAAAAACATCACTGCATCATGTCAGACCTCTGCTGTTTATGGGTTTGACTCTAGATTTGATATACTTTGTTCCTGAGAGGGACTCAGCCTCATGTTTCCCCCTCTAGCCTGCTAATGAAATTTTTTGGGTTTAGAAGAAAATAATTTACAAACACGTTGTAGAGCCTCTATATGAAGTGGAACACAATTCCAGGACTGGAGAGAGCTCTTTCTAGCACAAGTCAGGCTGAGTGCCAGGAGACCTGTATCTCTAAGACAACAGTGAAATGCTTTCTGTGAGCACTTGAGTGGGTTCTTTCAGAGAGGACATTAAGCAGAATTTCCCTCTGCTCTGTAGTCACATAATTATCAAGCTTAAGAAGTCATAATATATCTGAGACTGCTCTCTGTCCATGGCATTTTATTGAAGTTGGCTTCCAGGTTCAAGAGTTGCAGAGCAGGGTAAGTGTCTATCAGTGTTAATTTCATCCACAATTTGGCTTCTGCAACTCTTTTTCTGGTGTCTAATCCAGGCTTGAAGAATTGGTAACTCTCAGGCATTAATTCCAGAGACATGCAGGATCAGTTAATATTCTAGTTTCCCTAATATAGCTACAGACTTTTTGCAGTTTGATATCATTGTATATCAGTGTATGTATAAAAAAACTCAACAAACCCCACGACCAAAAAAATGCAACCTCCCCACATTACCTCTCAATTTTCACAGGTTTCATACCACTATTACATTTCTGAGTTAGACAACTCAGCTCAAGACTAGTAAATTTTTGTCCCCAGGCAGCTTGAGTTCATAGAACCATTAAGGTTGGAAAAGACCTTTAAGATCATCAAGTCCAACCGTCAACCCAGCACCACCACCGTGTTCACCATAAAACCCTGTCCTTAAGTGCCACAAACACACATTTTTTGGATGCCTTCAGGGATGGTGAGTCCACCACTGCCCTGAGCAGCCTGTTCCAATAATTAAAAACTGTTTCTACAAAGAAATTTTCCCAACATCCAATCTAAACCTCCCCTGGCACAACTTGAGGCCGTTTCCTCTCCTCCTGTCCCTTGTTCCCTGGGAGCAGAGCCTGACCCACCCCCCCCAGCTCCCCCCTCCTGTCAGGGAGTTGCAGAGCCAGAAGGTCCCCCCTGAGCCTCCTTTTCTCCAGGCTGAGCCCCCCCAGCTCCCTCAGCCGCTCCTGGTGCTCCAGACCCTTCCCCAGCTCCGTTCCCTTCCCTGCACACGCTCCAGCCCCTCCATGTCTCTCCTGTCTGAGGGTCCCAGAACTGCCCCCAGGGCTGGAGGTGCCTCAGCAGTGCCAGCACAGGGACGGGCACTGCCCTGGGGCTGGGACACACCAGGGCTGGCACAGACCAGGGGCCATTGGCCTTCTTGCCCACCTGGACACCCCCTGGGCTCATGTTCTGGCATGTTGAATATTTTAAAGATATTCCCAGGACCGTTGCATGGTTTTTGATGCAAGCTTTTCATGCTTTGAGTAGTCCTTTCTACCCCTGCGCACGTGAAAAGTTGGAACTGGGGAGACCAATATCCCCATAAATGATCAGTTATTATTATGACTGTCTTGAAAACACTGTGAAAAACCCATTGCGGTGCAAAATCATCAGGATGTAGCATCATCTATAGAAATGGACATGGTGAGAACATCATTATTTCTGTGTTAATGCCAGAGCTGTAAAAATGTGTCATCAATCTGCTGTAGAAATGGAGAAGATTGAAACAAAAACAATAAAACAGTGTTCTCTATGAAGCACAGCAGGAGAAAGGGAGTCTAAAAGACTTAGTGTGTAATTATAGACTCAAAGATAATTTTGAGCAAGGAAGGGGGTGTGCATACATATCTATTAATGTGCAAATAGAGAAACTTTGTACAGAAGCATTTTTGACCATAAATTAGTGGACCTGCAGATATAAATTTTCCTCATCTCTTCAAAGATAATGGTACCAAGGGATGATAAAAGCACAAGTGGGACTTGTGAATAATGAAGTGTTGAAAGGGGTGGGGGGAAAGTGAAGGTTCAGGAAAGAAAAGATGCAGAGAGAAGCGAGGATGTCTTCTCTTGAGCTTTCACCTTTGCCTTCCCCTCTGCCTTTCCATCTTTCCTTTTTCTTGCCATCATGCTCTGTTCAGTTTTTGTATCTCTGTAGGAGCTGGGAGGAACATATCTGAAAGAGAGTAGGATTAGATTGAATATTAGGAATAAATTCTTCCCTGTGAGGGTGGGGAGGCCCTGGCATAGGTTGTCCAGAGAAGCTGTGGTTGCTCCATCCCTGGAAGTGTCAAAGCCCAGGTTGGACGGGGCTTGGAGCAACTTGGGATAGTGGAAGGTGTCCCTGCCTGTGGCAGGGGGTGGAATGAGATGGTCTTTGAGGTCCCTTCCAACCCAAGACATTCTGTGATTCCATGATCCTCAGGACAGGATGCTGTGGAAAACAGCCCATCAGTCCCTGCTCTGAGACAGTCCCTAGGCAGGGGTGCTCACAGGAAAGGCACATCCAAAAGCTGACACGAAGGCAAAGCTCCCTTTGGCAAAGCAAGGACTGTTCTGGTGACAGCCATGGAAGGTTCATCCACAGTTGTTGCCAAAAATTTTTTGTCTGTGGACATAAAGTGTCCTGGCTGTGTGATGCCCACACTGGACAGAGGCTGAGTGTGAGACAATTGTTTACAGAACCAACATTCCCCTTCCTGCATGGACAGTTGTCTCTTTCCACTTTTGAGGTAAAGCAAGACTTGACTTTTTGGTTGGGTTGACCATGGAGGATAAAATATGTGTTAATGGGGACATCAGGCTTATTATCTCAGTTCTTGTGTTCTTTAATCATCTGAGCAATGAGACTCTTGATGCTTCAGTAGAAATATCATTCTTTTGCCTGTGAGGACACGGTGATATTGAAAATCATTCCTGTGGGCAACACTGCTACACTGAACCGTAAAAAAGACATTGTTTTCAGAAGAAAAGGGCAAGTTTTTTATTACTGCCTACAGATCATATCTCCCTAGATTTTTTAAAAGAAAATAACCATTACATGCAATACATTTCTCTATAAACAAGGCAGAAAGATCACTTCATCTGGGAACAGGATGTGCAGGGAAGCAGTCATCCAAGAGGATGACTACTGGATATGTATTCTGAGCAAATACACGTGTGTCCTTTAAATGTCATGCTTCTGTCCCTTTTGCACTCAATCCCTTCACACTCAAAGATTTTTATGTTTAAGGTCAGGAGCCACCTGGACTGACCTGTTGCAGAACAAAGGCGGGATGGAGAATTTTACAGAGTTTTGGGAAAACTAAATGGTTGAGCCACATCAGGTTGTTCTAGAAAACTAACATGCCTTGATTTACAGACTTAAGGAAAAGCGACTTTGTTATGTCCTGTGGTAAACTGGCATCGTGTTTTGTAACTTGTGGAAGGCAAAAATGAGAGTTTCGATCTTCCATCTGAATTTTCTCAGCTTTTCTGGCAGATACTCAATCCTGCTGCGAATCTTTCTGATAAATGAAAGTGTGCGGTCAGATCAGAAATCTTTACTCAGCTTGGCCAATGATTTGGTATCAGGAAGGCTTCTAACTTTCTTCTGGATAAATTAAATTGAACATCTATACTCTGTCATATGCATGAAATGAAATGACATTTGAATATTAAGAGAAATGCAGAGAAAATACACAAGAAAAGCTATTGCAGCACATTAAAACTCATTTAGAACATGACTTTTGCTGTAACTATTTTCCCCAAATTGCTGGTCTTTCTAATTTCTCTCCCTAACCATCCAAAGTTGATCTGTCACAGTATCTCCACTGCTACTGACAATTTTATGTAGAGCACAGGCATAAAAGAGTCATATCTCCAAGTCAGGCATTAAACCTCCTTGAAATGAGACACACACAGAGCCCATATGAGGTTGTGCAGAGTCTTATCAATTCTGCTGTGCAGTGTTGCATAAAATATTAGCAGTTCTGCTGTGAAGTTCTGCTATAATATACGTTATATATTGCTACATAAGAGCAGGGAAATCAAGATAAAAGTATGAATTGCACTGAAATGAAAAATATGTCCTTGCACTGAGATGTGATTTCTCCCTGTCCCTCTTTGTTTTTAGAAAGTTAAAATCTAGTCTAAAAGCTAATACTACAGATCAACAACGTGCAAGGTGTCCCCTGCCTTATCCTTCACCACCACTGGTTTGTACTTTGAAATATTCCCCAGTTCCATATCCACTGGTACAATGGTCTCACCTGCTTTGCAGGGAAGTCGTTTTTCACTGATACCTTCAGCACCAACTGACTTAAGGTCACTAAAGAAAGCTGTTGGTATAATGCTGGTTGTGCTTATGGCAGAAAGCAATCTGGGAGTCCACAGTGAAAATGGAGTCCTAAAATCAGACATCAATATTATTTCTATGCAAATAATTGCTTAATCACTCCCCTCATATCCTTCAATACAGGAGAATAGCAGGAGGAGGAACAGCTGCTGTGGGACGTCTTTCTTGGGTTGAGCAGGTAGTGGGGAAAGCTGATTCTGAACTCACCTGACTGAGTTCAAGGCAAGATCTTTTCGGTGTTGTGCTTTCCAAGTTTACTCTTGTGATCTCTCTGGAATGAAAAATGAAGAAAATAAAGCATTTTTTTTCCAGGAGTTCAACTTTGGATGAGCTGGTGAGCTAGAAGTCAAAGTACATCAAACTCCCCGCTGGTAAATGCAAAAAAAACCCTTAAATGGTGTGGAAAAGTTAAATAAATGCCCCAAACTAACAATTCTGGGTTTTTATTTGTCTCCTGTTCCTGCACAGAGTGGAGGTAAAATGAAGATTTTTACTCTTTAATAAAACTATTTCCATGACATCATCTCAAAGACTATTAGTGAATCACAGATCAGATTTCAAACCTTTTAAAGATCCTCAGGAAGTTCTCAGTTACTGCTGCCATGGGCCCACATTCTGGATCAAGGCAACTGAGCCCCAGTCCCTCTGTTAAAACTGCTGTGAATAAAGAAAGAAAATCTATTGGAAGCTCTTCAGTTCTGTAACACTTAAATTGACTATTTTTCCACAGAATAGCTGACTGCAATGCACAAGCTGCTGAGTTTTCCACCTCACCTTACCAGATTGTTTCAGTGTCCCACCTTGGGAATATCCTGAAATATCAGGACAGCAGAAGACCAGGTGAGAAAAACAAGTGAACTTCAGAAAGGTGATTTGTCATGATTTTACCCGTGGTTATTTCCCTATAAGGTGGATACTTTTGCTCCAGAACTGTGACTAAGGTAAAATTATTTTCAAAGTATGACCTTTAAAGGTCTCTTCCAACCCAAACTATTCTATGATTGTATGATTCTATGATAAGGGGTCATTGCTAGTTAATTTTCTATACTAATTTACACACACATGCATTCCACTAAGGCATGTAAATGAATTTTGATGCATTATTTTCCTCAACTGCTGAATAAATGCTGTTAAACTGATTGTTGACCAAAATCAGACCTCAAGAATTAGCCAGTGATTCTTCAATTTTGCCTAATTTATTTTTTTTCTCAGAAAACATAGATCAGCAGTTCAGAGACTCCTGCATGAAGGAGAATATAAGTGGTGGGTGTTTGTGCTAGTGGATAAGCATGGTCACAGAAAAATAACATCACATTAGAGTTTTGCTAGCTTCAGCTTCCAATTCATCACTACTTAATGGAATAGTAGATCAGGAGAAAACTGGAGTTTGAGTCAGTCTGTGCAGTAGGGGATTCAGAGCTATCAGATCCTGGCACCCACGTAATAAAGTGGGATGAAAATTTATTTTCCAACCTTAGTCACCTGACCTTGGTCAGCTTTACAAAGGTTAACTTACTCTGTCACATACATCACTTGACAATGTTGTTGTTCTTCCCCCTCCAAAAACTTGGAAAGGGAATTCCACCTCCTTAATGTTTTTATTATGACAAAACACTACACATGGATAATCTTTATCTGCCAGTGAACTGCATATTTATTTGGACAGGTCTCCCTTTTTGATATGTCTGTGAGAAGTTTCCAAGGAAAATGCCCCGCTTTTAGTGCAAACATTAATTCACATTTTCATCTCCTTGTCCTCTTTGAAATACAGAAACCTCTGTCAAGGACTGAGACTCCAATGAGCTAAATGTTGAACCTGGAACCACTTAAACAAACACAAAGGCCATGTGCTAAGTTAGTTTTTATGCTGGAGGCCTTGACTCACAGCTGCCAATGGAAGAGCCAAGAGTGGCTGAAAATCTAGGAGGTGACTGGTTGTATCTTACCCTAGGATGACTTCACACCTCTTCAGTAATGCAACTTCTCCATGGAGAGCAAGGCATCCTGATATGGAACTGCAAGGGAAACCCTGGATTCTTGGTGTTTTCTTCTCCCCTCTCCCTACGATCTTTAAAGACATTTATCTCAAAGTCATTTCTTTTTCTAATCATTGGTGCTCCAGCAGCCCCAGGGGCATTGAGCAATGTGCAAATGGCACTCAGTGAATCATTTGGTGCCTTTAGCCAGGACGCTCCACGGCTTCCCCATAAGGTCTTCCCATTATCCGGGGATTGTTCTCACGCCTCGCAAGCGGTAAACTTGAAGTCACATCTGCTTTGCTGACCTTGTCTGAAGACTGAACATTGTTTGCATGTTCTCTGAGTTGGAACACGCTGTGTAGCTCCTGCACTGAAGTGGGAAGGAAACATTTTTCTCTATTTCCCGTGTCCTGTGTGAACTTTTCCATTGTAAAATATGTGCTGTATTGTTGGTTGGGTTTTGTCTTGTTTTTTTTTTTTTCCCAAGAAATTGACTGGAAATCGATATTTTCCATCTGATACGCTCATTTAAAATTCACTCACAGGAACTCCGTGGTTTTCAGCTGGTATGGGAACTTTAATAATAAAAAAACCCCAATTCAACAGATAATGGACAAGGAGGAGACTTGGGAACAGCCATAATCATCGTTCATTGGAGAATGTATCATTTGTGTCATTAAAATGCCTACTGCCAGACACTGTGGATGTATCACTTTGAGGCAAACTGACGGCTACAGGAAAGCTAAAAGCAAAATGTCTTTTTTAAAAGCAAAGCAGGTTCTAAGTGACAAATGCACACCTCCAGCCTGTCACATTTCTAACGTTCAGATGCTGTTGTGCCAGCAAGTTAGACACTCACTTAGTAAAAGGCGAGCCTACCATGGGAAAATTGCCATCTAAATAGAGGAAACAGATAAAAATTGGGTGAGCTCAGCCATTTCTTCCATTTTTACAAAAGCCTCACTCTAGAAGTTAAATTCAGAAGAAGTCAGGTGCTTTCAATAGGATTTATCTCGCCTAAGTAAAAGGCCTTGGTGGGTTCACACTGGGAACACCTTGATGGCAAGACATTGGATTTGATACATTCTTTGAGAGGCCAAATGAGGATGAAGAGAGAAGGAAACCTCTAGGCAGTAGCAGTACTTCATCTGCTTAGGATACAGCCAGCTGTAGCCTGGAAGAGCATCTTTGTACACAAATCTTAGGTTAAATGACAGTCTTTGAGAGAAGATCTACTATTAAAGGAGATCAATAGATGAAGTGAGAAAGAGTCACAACAACTAACTTGGTGTTTCCTGACTCCTCTCCTGGTCTCTCCAGCCTTAGGAAAAAGAGATGATTTCAAAAGGGATGTTCAACATCTGACAGACTGAGGGTGGTGGACATCTGGGTACCCCAACCCTGGAAGTGTTCAAGGCCAAGTTGGACAGGGCTTGGAGCAACCTGGGATAGTGGAAGGTGTCCCTTCCCATGGCAGGAGGGTTGGTACAAGATGATCTTTAAGGTCCCTTCCAACAAAAGCCATTCTATGATTCTGTGGGTCTTAAACTCTTCCCTTTCCATAGGTTTGATGTGTGGTTCTTACACAAGGGGATCCTTACTATTTAGGCCACCTCTTCTAGCACTAATAAGTACATTTTTGCCTGTAAAAGAATGAAACAAGCTCTATCTGTTCTCTTGGGGTGCTGCAGAAAGAGGAGATAATTGCTGCCCCTTCTCAATATCCTGGGAAGCTGAAAGCCTTCCGGACCCTCTCTGTGGAGGTTCAAACTCTCCTATGAGGCCCCACTAATGGCTTTGTCAGCAGGCAGCCTACGTGTTGGGGAGGCAGGGGAGAGCATTCTTTGTCTGTCATGGTAAAACTGAGCCTTTATGCAGCAGATCTGGGATTAAATCTCCTCTGTATCACAGGGGGGTCGCAGGAAGGCCATCTGGGAGCCAAAGCAATTGGGCCATCACCTGAAATGCGAAAGCTGGTTTCCAGTTCCTGTTCCAAGGGCTATTTATACCTTTTTATCAAGGAGTTTTTAAAAGGCTGATTATGTCTGATTACGTGGTGTCCTTCCTATGCTCCACAAATGGGTTGGAAAGCCTGGAGCTAAGATATCGGCCAGTCCATGTTGGAGAGGCAAAAGCTGGAGCCAGCTTGGAGCTCAGGCACAAATTCTGACTCCATCCGACTGCAGGAAATCTCTTGCTGTTGGATTTTCCATCTAGCAACATTTGCTGGAATAAAACCAAGTTGCACTTAGAAGCTGGGAGAGATCACGTGGACACAGGCTGCAGGAACAAGTTTCTTTCCAAAGTAAACCCTCATGGAATGAAACTAGGGTTTCCAGCCATGGGAACTTATACAGAGAACTGTTATAGAGTGGGAGACATAGAGATGTTGGGGTGACATCTCCCATGGCTTTGTGACATGGATCTGCAATCCAAAGGCTGTAGGATACACCATTTTTCCCTAATGCTAAAGAACATTCTGATTCTCCTTCATCTACCACATGAACGAGAGAAAGTTAAACACCCATCAAACAAGTTTAGCAGAGCAAGACTGAAGAAAACAACTGTTGATCACATCATGCTTTCAATGAGCTGATCTTAAGATATCTAAAGCTTTTAAGCAAAGCTAAACTTAAAAAAAAAGTAAAATTGTGGAATCAAATTTATGGACATTGATTCATCTCTGCAACTTTGCTTGTTGGGAAAAACCAAACCAGACCAGACCAAACCAACTTCTGGGAAGTTTTATTACAAGTTTCACAGGTATAAAATGTTTACCATACTTGATCACACATGTGCTTTCCAGCTAAAATTCTGTGAATAGCATGCCCAAGCTAATCTTTAAAACATATTATTACTGGTATTTTTGTGATTTTAGGTTACAAAGTCTTGTCTGAGGTCCTTGGAAACTTTCACAGAAGATCAGCAGTGTATATATGGAGGGTAGCTCTACTATAGGGTCTTACTGTGCAGAGACCTATGGGAGATTGGGAAAGGGTCTCAGAGCCACACAGAGAAACTGGACAAATAAATTATTTTCCTCTGAGTGTGGAAAGGGGAATGTCTGGGGCATCCTGGAGGAAAATTGAGGTGTAAGAAACCCTCTCATCTGATGCAGTGTGATGCTTGAAGAGCAAGGACCTGCCCAGGATGTGTTGAAAATCAAGAAGTGAGACTGGGCACACTCTGCCAAAGGCCCTTTCTATAGGAAAAGCAGCTGGAGTCAGGCAGCAGGCTCAGGAGAACAGCAGTTATTATCAGCAGCAACTTCAAAGGCAAA